GATGGTTACGCAAAAGCATGTTGGTCCAATGATGGGACGAGGGTGCTCGTGTCGTTTGGATATGCGATGGGGTTGTGGGACGGGAAGACTGGGAACAAGTTATGGGAGAGAATCACAGACGCCGACATGCATATCAGGTGCATGGCGTGGGCTGGAAACGACACGAAGATCGCGCTTGGCGGTAGCAATAACGACGGCAGGGTCGTGCTGTTAAGCGCCAGAACGGGAGAGGCGATCAGGGTGGCATGTGGGCATACAGATGGCAGGGTCGTGCTGCGGGGCGCCAAGACAGGAGAGACGATGGGCGATGCCCCCGAACGTGTCCCAGATTCGGTCGGCCTGAAATGGGCTGCGGACCAAGGTCTGCTTGAGTGGTATTCAGACGAATTTGCAGACGAAGTTCACATAGATTGGTTCAACTTTGTGAAGCGGCCCTGGAGAGAAGGTGAAGAAGGTGTGCGGGTTTCGTTCTCTGTTGAGCGGGCTCCGTTCTCTGTTGGGCGGGCTCTGTTCCCTCATGATGGTTCTTATGCTTCTGTTTCGGTGAAGTGGTCTCCAGATGACAAGTGGATCGCGTCAACTGGATATAATAAGTCTTTGTCTCCAAATTTGTCTCCAAATTCTGATGTTGCAATTGATGAAAATGGGAAACCAAGCAGAGTCGGAGTCGGAGTTATGATCTGGAATTGGGAGACAGATGTAACATATCGGTACCAGCTCAAGAGATATTATAAGTATGGTTTACCACGCTATCCGCTGGAATGGTCTGACGACGGACGACGCGTAGCCCTTGGAATTGGAGAAGAGCTCGCGATATGGGATATTGAGACAGGGGTGATGTTAAGGTGCACAAACAGTGAAGAATATCGAATGGAGATTGCGCAGATTGCTTGGTTCCGGGACGGGTCGCGAATAGCGACGTTGGGTACTACAATGTTTGGTGGAGGAGGAAAGTTGCGAATCCTGTCCGTGACGCTGTCCGTGACGAGTCAAAGCGCTGTCTGCGAAAAGCAATACGATGGTGTTGGGTATCTCAAAGAGAGCGATCTGCGCCAGTTCATCGATACGAATGAGGGCAAACTCACGGCGGCGGATCTAGAGAGGAAACTGGAGAGGAAACTGAGGATTCGGCAAAAGCAAGATGAAGATGGAGTGTTCTACAAGACAGGAGATGACGAAATCCGCCTAGCAACCGTTGCGGGATATCGTTGGTTCTGTTCTACTTCAGGTCGGCACATTGCGATCCAGGTAGAAGCAAAACTGTACTTTTACGAGCTCGTGCAGTAGTGTGATTGTGAGTGTGTGAATAACCACTGGGCAAAAGGGGATGTCCCGGCCAGGACAGGACAGGAGGGGTTGTACCCACGGTATATGTAGTAAGGGATGATGTGCCAGGAGAAATTGTATGTATTCGATGTTGTTTGTAATTACCCGACGCCTCGATGCCCCTCTCCGCAAAAAAAGTAGTCGGTACATCTTTTCTATGTGTCGCGCGCAGTTGCGTCAGTGTGCGGGGAATAGTGTCGTCCAACGTAGAGACTGCGCGTAGCGAGACCAGCAAACAAAACTGGAGGCGGAACAGGCACATACGATATCAGTCGTTGTAGTATGAAGTTCAAGATATGCACGGCGGATTTGCGGTGGTTTTCGCTTTGTCAGGTATTAGAAACTTCGTTTCCGCCAGGAAACGAAACCTTGACGACGGTGTTCACGACGGTGTTAGCGTTGAGGTTGACGGCATGTGTAGCGTCGAAGACGGGCGGTGGTCGGGAGGCTGTGGCTTGTTGGTAGTGGTGGGGGGAGCATGATGGAGCATGAAGAGGTTGTGTGAAATGGAGGTTTTGGGTTGTTTGGACACGGGCAACTGCTCGTGCACGGACACTCACACATTAAAGTGTATTAATAGGGAGCTTACGCAGGCATACTTCTGTAAAATTTGAAGCAGAATTCTTCAAACAAAATTACACTGAAAGCTTTATTGCAGAAATCTGTAGAAAGCATGTGATCAAAGATGCGGAATTGTGACCAGTTAGTGAAGACCTTTCTGCAAAGATGTGAGGAAAGCAATGTGACAGCTGTCCTATTTTCCGCGGGGGATAAATTGGAAGAAGACAGTTGCGCGACAGGGACAGGATCCTCTCATCGGGAAAAAACATGGCTGAAGTAATCCAAGATAAGACGAGCGAGACCGATTCACAGGCAACTGCAAAACCTGGCAGAAGCTCTCGCTTTACTGCTGCGCAGGATCTCGTCATTGCGCGAGAGGTGGCTGCATCTAGGGCGCACACTGCAGCTTTTGGTGAAACAAAGAAGCTATTTGAGGTGGCCGCGTCGAAGATTTCAGCGAATCCGGCATTCGATACAGAAGGCAAAAATGTAAGTTGGAAGGCGGTGCAGGACAGGTACAAGAGGCTACAAAAGGACTACGATCATGCCGACAATGCTAACCAGCGATTGTCTGGTGTTGGTGGGGGTGAAATGGGAGAGCTAGCTGACCTTCTGATGACTATGAGAGAAGCACACGATGACTTGGACGTGCAAAAGAAGGCTGCTAAGACAGCCCAAAAGAGGAAAGAAGAAGACAAGGAAAGAATGGGACAGGTCTTGGTTGACTTGGCGACGAAGCGCAAAAACAAGAGCGATGACGATGATAACACCACAGAGGTATGCGACGAGGAGCCCTCAAGTACTGCGAAAAAGCGAAAGAAGAGACAAACTGCACTTCTCGAAACGGAGATGGACAGGTTCGGTGAGCATTTGAAAGACGCAGATCTTGCACGCGTAGATCTTGATCGTGAGCGTCTTGCTTTTGAGCGTGAGAAGGCAGTAGAAGACCGTGCCGATCGAGGGCGAGAGCGCGATGAGCGCAGACAAGAGCGCGAAATAGAGCGACGTGAACGCCGTGAGGAGCGCGTAGAGCTCCAAAAGTTAGAGCTTGAAAAGTTCAAGGCCATGATAGATGCATTTAACCGAAACAAGTAAACTTTACAAAAAGTGCCTCGAAGCCTTTCTAACCGCCCAGAGCACCATTACACGCCTTATAACACCCGTATTAATGCTGTAGATACCGTAAAACGCCATAAAACCGTTTTGGAGTGGGGCTCCGCCCCACACCCCGGTCCTCGCGGACACCATCAAAACTTTCCGTCGGTGACGCATCATTCGCCTTTG